GGTGCATGCCTATAATCCCAGCCACTGAGGAGGCTGAGGCAAAAGGATCATAAGTTTGAGGTCAACCTTAGCAAGAGCAGAAACAGAGGTATGAAAAACTTTTTGAGACCTTGTCTCAAAATAACAAATCAAGGGCTCGCCTTGCACGTGCAAGGCTCTGGGTTCGATCCTCAGCACCACATAGAAATAAATAAATAAATAAATAAAATGAAGTTATAAAGAAATTTTAAAAAATAATTGTGTCAAAGTGGTAGAGGCCTTGGGTTCAATTCCCACTACCATAATCAATCAATCACATCAAAAAAGCCCAACTAGGGGGCTGGAGATGTGGCTCAAGCAGTAGCGTGCTCACCTGGCATGCATGCGGCCTGGGTTTGATCCTTAGCACCACATACAGACAAAGATGTTGTGTCCACTGAAAACTAAAAAATAAATATTAAAACTCTCTCTCTCTCTAAAAAAAAAAAAAGCCCAACTAGGGCCACATGCAGTGGCACATTTCTGTAATCCCAGCAGCTCAGGAGACTGAGGTAGGAGTAACACAAGTTCAAAGCCAGCCTCAGCAAAAGCAAGGTGTAAAGCAACTCAGCGAGACCCTGTCTCTAAATAAAATACAAAAAAGGGCTGGGGATGTGGCTCAGTGGTCAAGTGCCCCTGAATTCAATCCCTGGTTAAAAAAAAAAAAAAAGCCCAACTAGGACTATTTCTTAATATTTTTAGGTACAGATGGACACAATGCCTTTATTTTTTTCTTTTTCTTTTCTTAAAGAGAGAGGAGAGAGAGAGAGAGAATTTTTAATATTTATTTTTTAGTTCTCGGCAGACACATCTTTGTTGGTATGTGGTGCTGAGGATCGAACCCGGGCCGCACACATGCCAGGTGAGTGCACTACCGCTTGAGCCACATCCCCAGCCCTATTTTTCTTATTTATTTTATGTGGTGCTATGTTGCTGAGAATTGAACCCAGTGCCTCACATGTGCTTGCCAAATGCTCTATCACTGAGCCACAATCACAGCCCTAAAAATTGATTCTTAGTTTAGATTGTTTTAGCTTTATACACACAGTATTTATTTTAATACTAATAAAAATTGGAAGGGTAGTTTTTCATACCTCTGTTTCTGGTGAATTGTTAGAGGGACCCACTGGTGCAACAAACTAACCCCCATGCCCCACATTCAACCAACATATCCTGCTTAATCAGAAGTTTATTTCTTATTTCCAGAGCAGTATAGGATGACCATGTGAGTATGTATGTGTATGTGAGTGTGTATGTAGGTCATCCTCCATGCTGGGGACCCAGCAGAGACCCACATTGACATGGTTTCCAAAGTCATCCATGCAAAGGAAAGAACCTGGAGGCAGGTGTCGGTGGGAGGTTGGGAGGTTTCTTATGGGCCTGGGTTGGAAATCTCTCCAATCCTCAGCTCACATGGCCCTGGCTAGACTCAATTACATGATCACCCCCAGCTGCAAAGGAGGTTGGGAAATATATCTAGTGTGCAACTGGAAGATGGGTCTGAGCTACTAGCAGTTACCTGTTCAACTTCACTTCCCTAATTGGTTTTCAACCTTAGACACTTGGCTGGAGACAGACTCCTCCAAGAAGCCCCATGACTCCCTACTCCCACAACATCCTACATGACCATCCCCTCCTTTTCAGGCAGCTTTGGACCTGAAGATAGGTCCCCCAGAGAGACTAGCAGGGGTCTGGTCCACCCCAGAAACTCAGACACCATAGGGATTTTTTTCTTCATAGTGCTGGGGTTGGAACCCAGGACCTTACCCACACTAGGCAAGCACTCTTCCACTGAGCTACATGCCTAGTCTACCCTAGGGCTTTGGAAAGAAACTGTCTGACCTGGCAGATTTGGAGGGGACAGTTCCTATACTTAGTGGAAATACTCCTCACCCTCTCCTGTGTCTACTGTTTTCAATTGTGCCCAGTCAATTAGAAGCCCTAGGGGGAGGCTGTAGGAGAGAAGTAGATGCTTCTTTCTGCGTCAGTTGATGGGGGAGTCTGCAGCAGGACTGATGCCCTTGTGACTCTGGTCAGGGTGAGCCAACAGGCCTGCATAGTTCCTGCTTCTGTGTGGATATGGGCCTGGTTCCAGGAGCACATCACTCACTTTAATCCCTCTGCCTGGGGTGTCGCCAGAATCCTGTGGGTGCTTCACTGGCAATTATCTGATCCCCTGGCTCTCCTTGGATTACCATCTCTCCTATCCTGACTTATTCGAGGGGGATAGCATGCCACAGGGCTCTGATTTGGATGATCTGTCAGTCCAACCTGTGGGGGACCATTTTCAAATCTCCCACTATTGACCATTCAGCAAGCTCTGTGGCTGCTGTTTGAGAGACCACCTCTCTGAGGTGGAGGTCCCCTAACTTTGATGTCTGTAGAGCATCTGTGCTTTGTTCTGGWACCTTCTGGTACCTTTGTAAGGGACTAGTAGTACCTCTATCTCCTTTGGGACCCTGGGAAAGCCCCTGTCAGGTGGCGGGACTTCCCATCCTGGCCTGCCCCTGGCAATGGAAATATCTGGGACTAAGGCCGCAGCCAGGGTGCCCTTTTCTCCTACTGGGGAGGGGATATAGGTCATGTCCTAGAGGGAGATAGGTTGGTCAGGGGATACTGAAGTTGTCCATGCTTTACTTAAATGCCATGGTGTAGCAGCATAGCCATCTTGGTTGGCCCCCTAACCCACCCACTGCTCCTTAGACACAACTACCAATCTCTCTCTTTGAGCCTGAGATACCCTCTCTGATAAATGAGAGCTCTGAGAATACAATCTGCTTTTTTTTTTTTTTTTTTTAAAAAAAGAGAAGGCCTGACCATGTTGCCAGTCTGGCCCCAAACTCCTGGATTCAAGTAATTCTCCTGCCTCAGTCTCCTGAGTAGCTAGGACTACAGGTGTGTATCACCATGGATGGAATATAACCTGTCTTTTACCCTGAATGGGACACCCTCTGCTAGACTTACTGAGCCATGAAGTTGCCCTAGCCCTCCTGGGCTCCTTGGGTGCCTGTACCTACAAGTTCAGGCCTTGACCAGGAAACCAATCTTTTATTGACTGAGGTGGCTAACCTGGCCTGGTTTGGCACAGGGATGCACTGGGGACTCAGGCAATGGGAAATGAGACTTTACCTCATCTGCAGAGAGGAAAGTACCAGCTCAATGGCCAAACAGCAGGCAGCACCACCCTGCCCCGAGTTACAAGTTCAGAGGAGTCTAAGGACAAGGCGAGGAGGGATCTGGGAAGAAAGGACACTGACCTCATTATTCCTCTAATTTCTTGGATGACCCTTCATCCTTCCAATTCCTGTCAGCTGTTTCCTTATATAAGCTCCATCATGCTTGTCTTCCAGGAAGCCCTCCAGATTTGGGAACTGTCCCTACCTCTCAGCTCTTCTATTTCTGTCCTGGACCCTTTACTAAGTGCTCAGTGAGTGGGAGTCCTGAACTCTGTCACCAAACCTGCTTGCAGCAGGTTGTGGAGGAGATTGCCATCCCCAGCCATCTGGGACAGGGCACAGTTCCTTCCCCCCAAACATTCATTGGTCCTACCCTCTGCTGCCTCCATGTGGCCACTCCTAGAACTGCAGGCTATACTGAAGCCTCCACTCTTACCACCCACAGTAGGTCACCTGTGGGCATCCTCAGCCCCATCCTCCCCCATACTTTCTCCACCTAAGATCAAGATGCCTAACCTTTATTCAGAAACCTATCCACAAAAGAGACTTTGGGCTCTACTTTTCCTCCAGCTGGCTCCTAGTTTGTGCTTCCATGGTGTTCCGCCACTCATAGTCTCAGGGGGCAGGTAAGGAGCTGCTCAGGTGGGCAGCAGTGTCATGTCTGTGTCTAGCTTCTGGACATTCCTGGGTGAAGGAAAATGAATCTCACTCACTCGAGGACTTAGGCATGGCCCTACTAATTACTGCCCAGCCAAGAAGCAGCCTCTTGCAGGGCAGTGCCAGGGTCATGATTAGGGACCAGCTTGCTGCAGGGTATACATTTCTTCTCAGAGAACACTAAGTGAGAGTGAAGGGACAGGAACCTGGGCTGGGAGAGCGTGGGCATGGCCAGGCTGGATCTGCCCCTTCCCATCTCCTGAGTAACCAATGTGACATGGCCCTTCATTTCCTACCCCACAAGGGGTGGTCACTATTCTGGATCCCATATTACACAAACAACACCTTTGTTTGTATGTGGTGCTGAGGATTGAACTCGGGCTGCAAGCACGCCAGGCGAGTGTGCTACCGCTTGAGCCACATCCCCAGCCCAAGAGTAGAAGTTTTAAGGAAATTGAGTCTCCCTGGGAGTCAATGAAGCAGACAGGACTTAGACCTTGATACTGTAGGTAGTGATTTCACAGGGTGACCATGGAACTCTCCAAAATCAAGCTACAACATAAGCACCAGGACAGCAGGAAAGGAATAAAGAAGGTTTGTTTTCTCCTTGTACAGGTAGGGGGGGCAGGGGGTATTCCCAAGCAACATTCCAGAATAGGTAGAGATATAAGTCTGAGTGCAGAGGGAGGTCTCTTTCCTACTGGGGGACTTCCTCTCTACCTAGGGGGCCCTGAGGTCTCTCGCCGCCTTGGGATTGAGTCCACCTGAGGTTTCAGGCTGGGTCCATGGTCTAGGCACCAAGACCGCTTGGCACTGAGGCCCCATGGGGGAGGGGCAGGAGATCTCAGTCTACCAGGGGTCATGCCACCGGCGTCAGAGTATGCAGAGTGAGGTATTAAAATCTGAGTTTCTGATGCAGAAATATTAGGGCTTGGGACACAAGCACTAGCACTAGCTTGGGACACAGGAAATGAGGTCTCAGGTCTTAGGAATTAAAACTGTGAGTAGTAGGGAAACAGAACAAGAGGTTGATGTCAGGGATTTGGAATTCCTAACATTAGGTATTCTGCCTCCATCTGAGATGACAGACTAGGTATATGGTCTTGAGTCCACAGGTGTTAAAGGCCCAGTTATCATGTATCCACACCTAAGGATTTAAGAATCATAGGACTGATGGTTATGTTATTGGGAGTCCAGGGCCTTCACCTGGGAGGCTGGGTCTTGGCCCTGAGGTGACCCTGTGCTGCTGGCCAACCATGCTCCAGTCTCAGGGGTGCAAGCTTCACATGTTCCTGCAATGGAAATGAGGTTGGACCAGTCACAATTGTCCCACTGGCTGCCCCAGGGTCCCAAGAAAGTTGAAGAGGGGGATAGGTAGGGGTCTGTGGGTGGGGCTCTCAACCTGGGTGGGGTCTCACATGTTGCCCTTCCTTCGTAGCAGCACATAGATGATAGAGACCAGTAGCACCACAGCCAGCCCTCCGAAGATGATGCTCAGCAGTACCGTGTAGCTCCGTCCTGGTGAGTGGGCCAGAGTAGTGAGTGTAATCTAGGGAATGTGGGCATGCAGGGGTGGGAGGGTGCACAAGAGAGATATCCTCACCTAACTGGCACTCTGGAGTGGGTGTGGACCAGGTGCCGTCAGCCTGGCAGGTGCTGGTCTCTGCCCCAGCCAAGCTGAAGCCGCTGTTGCAATGGAAGTGCACAGTGGAGCCCACCAAGTACCTGAGTCCCTCCTTGTGCCCATTGGCAGGGGGAGCCAGCCAGCCACAGGACATCACTGGAGTAGGGGCAGAACATAGACAACAGGTCTAAGTTGCTGGCCACAGCATGCAGCTGGCCAGTCCTAGAGGCCATATCCTAGTGCAAGGTGGCTTCTCACTTGCCCAGGTCTCTTCTCTCCCACCCTTACCAGGCTGTAGGCTCTGCATTCGCTGCTGGTGCAGTTGGTGGGCAACCAGTGTGGCATTTCCCACACTCAGGCTCCCGGTGGCTGCCACATCGAATTTGCAGAAATGGTCATTTCCACACAGTTTGGCTGCCTCTTCTGCCTGGCTTGGGCTGAGAGTGGACTTGTCTGGGAAGAGGGGCTCAAAAGTGGGGTCATGCTTAGGTTGGTACACGAAGTTGTTAATCAAAAACCAGGAGTCATACGTGAACAGAGAAGAGGTGTTGTGTACTGCCCCTGTGGAGACAGGTTGCATGCCTGGGTGGACACAGCTCCGAGTAGTGGCCAAGGGTCTGATGTCCCCTTGGTCCACAGATCCTACCTGTGCCATGCTCCAATCCACCCTACCTCACTCCCAGCTCTGCTCATTCTGCCTAGTGTATTCCACAGGGCCACTTACAGTCAGCCCCAAACTGGAACAGCTCCTGAGCACTGGCATTCAGGGGCAGGACCCGTCCACTGCGTAGGGTGAAGTCATCGGTGGGGTCATTATTAAGTGTCCCAAGAAGGCCATGGGTGTGGTTCAGAAACTTATCAGGTAGCAGGATGGCCACACTCAGGAAAGGGCCCTGTATGCTGACCTCCAGGCCGGCCCCTGATGACAACATGATGGATACCTTGTCCTCAGCAGCCACTGACAGGAACAAGCCTGGGCACAGGTGAAAATGGACTTAGTCACTCCCTGTGGTCCTTGTGCCTTGTCCTCATCCTTACCACAACCCCAGAATGGGGTTGGAGGCACCTAAGAGGAAGAGGAGGGCTGACCTGTTGACTATGATATTCTACCATCTCCAGCATACACTTGCACCAGGAACCCAGATGCACCCAAAGTGCCTAGTTCCTGCAGAAAATCTCCCCATGCTGAGGCTGCATGTGGGGGCATGTGGGGACAGGGCACAGCCCCTTCCCCCAACACATTCATTGGTCTTGCAGCAGTTTCACCTGTCTCTGCCCTTTCTGAGGGTCTTTGTATATACATCCCCTCTATCTCCATTGGGTACTATTTTGTTTGGAGGCCCCCTGAAGTATGGGAATGGTGGTGGCAAGGGAATGGGACACTGAGGCTATTACTCATTTTTTTTTTGGGGGGGTTACCAGGGATCAAACTCAGAACACTTGACCACTGTGCCACATCCCCAGCCCTATTTTGTAATTTATTTAGAGACAGGGTTTCATTGAGTTGCTTAGGGCCTCACTTTTGCTGAGGCTGACTTTGAACTCGTGATCCTCCTGCCTCAGCCTCCTGAGCTGCTGGGATTACAGKGATGCACCACTGTGCCTGGCTGAGGCTGCTACTCTTGTGTGCCACTCTTAGCTGTGTTCTGAACTCTGCAGGCATGGCTTCCTTGCAATGGCCTGCCTGCCTCTTTCTTTCTTTCTTTCCTTCCCCTTTTCTTCCTCTTTTCCTCTTTTTGGATTGAACCCAGGGGTGTTCTACCACTGAGCTAATCCCTCAGCCCTTTTAATTTTGAGATAGGGTCTCATTAAGTTTCTGAAGGACTTCTAAGGCTGAGGCTGGCCTGGAACTTACAATCTTTCTGCCTCAGTCTTATGAACACTGGTTCTATTACATCCAACTTGCATGGCTTTTCATGATGGAATGAGTGACCACGACAAAGCAGTAGAGCCATGTGGACCAGCAGTGAGTCCTGGCATGCCGGCCCCTAGACTCCTTTGGGCCATAAGGAGGCCCCATCCTTCAATTCTGGCCTCTCAGGGGTATGACATGGGTAACTTTATAGGTGTCAAGATGTGAGATCAGACCTCAGGCTGGACCCCTGCTACCTCTAGCCTAAGACAGCAATGGTTAAGGGCACAGATTCACCCACCCGGCTATGTTTTGCTGGACCTATCTCCAGTCCCCAAGAAGCCTCCATCTTTGTTTCTGAGCCCTAGACACCACCCTAGTCCTTAGCTAGGGCTGGGGAGAGGCACAAAGTCCCTAAGGCTACCTTCAACCCCTGGGCAGATCACTGAACTTATCTAGCCATGCCACTCACCCTTCAGGTCCATCCAGCTCTGTTCAGCAAAACTGAGCACCTCCTGATTCAGCAGCACCTCTAGGACCCCAGACCTTTTGGCCAGCCGCACCTCTACCACATCTGAGTTGCCCTCCTGGACAGCCACTGCAGTCAGCCCTGTGCCTCGGGCCTGTGAGCCTAGGGTAAGAGGTGCAGAATGGGAGCTGGGGCTGTAGCTCAGCAGTAGAGCACTCGCCTAGCATGTGTGAGGCCTTGGGTTTGATCCCCAACACCACATTAAAAAAAATAAATAAAATAAAGATATTTAAAAAAAAGAGGTGCAGAATGGGGTTGTCTTGGTTCCTATTTTCCACCCTAGATGACCCACCACCACCCAGAGGCTGTGGGGCCCTGGTCTTACCATTGGTCATCATCCCTGGCTGAGCCCGTGCTTGTACCCTCAGGTCTGTCAGCACCGCCTCTAACAGCACATACTCGCCACGCCCATTGAACGTGAGGTTGGTGCCATCAAAGGTGACAAAGTGAGGATCCCCGAAGACGGAGGCTAGGGCAAAAGCAGATTAGACAGGTCCCCCAGCACCTGGCCCTGCCCAGCCCTCCCTGGGGCTAGTGCTCAAGCTGGCACCTACCCAGGTGTGGGGGCCGGTAATTGCGGCAGTCGCTGGAGGGCCGCCGCCGCATGTAGCGGGAGCACTCAGGAGCCCAGAGGCAGCAATAATAGAAGCTGATGACATCATAGAGCCAGTGAGACATGCTGGGCACGCGGGGTGGTGTGCGGTATGGGGGTGAGCCCCAGTCGTGGCCACGGTCCGGGGTACTGCCACTGGTGGAGTCCGCTGTTAGGAGCTGTGTGCCAGCTGCTGTGTAGCAGCACTGCTGACCTGAGGCATACTGGGGACTGGTAGGGGAAGGCAAGTCAGGAGCCTACCCCCAATCCCTGCCCTGTCCCTCATCTCTGGTCTAGTGGCTCACCTGGCTTGTACAGAGCGTACACAGTGCACGGCCCCAGGGTGGTAGGTACAAACGCTGCCGTGCTCAATGTCACAGCCGTAGTCTGTCTGCAGAGTAGCCAGTGGCTGTCACCTGGGTTTTGCATCCTCTCCCTCCTTGGGAGCCAAACCCAAGGGGACCCTCTGAACCCAACCTCACCCCCTGAGGGTATCTGTCTCAGTGGGGAGGCTGGCCCCACCCATCCCCCAACATCCTCTCCCAAGCCCTAATGGGTTCAGGGGCTCACAAAATAGCGGCCAGAGTCAGCTCGGGCTTGGGCCAGGGTGCAGGGGCAGTCGGGCAACTCCTTCAGGAAGTTGGGCAGCTGGTCCTCCAGTGCCTCCCAGGCCAGACACTGTGCACGAGCCCAAGCCACAGAATCCTCTCGGAAGTCGTCACCCAGGTGCCAGGCCAGAGCATGATCATTGGTCCAGAGTGCCAACACATCCCTATGATGGTGATGATTCATGAGCTAAGGGCAGGCAAGCACGATAGTCTACATACAGTTGGATGCCCCCAGCCCATTCTCTGTACTGAGGCCCTTACTTTTTTCCTGGATAGTTTTTGCTGTCAACGATCCGCATAGCACCCACTTTCCATCTCTGATAGTCAGGAGATGCAGGTTTTGGAGTGAAAGTGAAGAAGCCAGAGTTGGGAATGTTTGTGGCCAGGGTATACAGATATGACCACTCTGCTGTCCAATTCTCTGAGTATGGCTTCCCTGAGGGGAGAGAGATTCTTAGTCAGCCCTAGAACTCCTCTGAAGACCCCTGGGGCAAGAGAGGAATCTGGACCCAGTCTCTAGCTCTGAACAGCTTGACAGATGGATGAAAGGGCAATGGATAAGCCCTCATGGGAGGGCTTGCTGGAGTGTCAGGAATCCCTTGCTTTGGTGCTCCACCTTCTCCACTTCAGGGTCACTGTCCCTGTATCATGCCAAGCTCAGAGAGGAAGGATCAGATCCAGTTTCTCTTTTTCCAGCATAAGCCTCCTATCCGAAGGCCAGGGCAATCAAACCTTCTACTAGGCCTGGGGCCCAAACAACCAGTCATCCTTTCACCACGCCTTCCCCCTCATTCAGTCTATTCTTCTTCCCTAGATTGATGTTTCTTGCTCCTGATCCTCCAAACCTGCCTGGAATTCCCTTCCTTTCTCTTCCACTTACATGACCCCACTCCCACATCTAGGACACCCATTTCTGGGAGCCCAAAGCTCCAGATGCCTCCACCAGCCTTGAACCAGCCTCACCTGTCTCTTCGTAGCCCCACAGCTCAATGGTGACAGCCTGCGTGGGCAGTCTTGAGGTGTTCCAAGTGAGACTGAGGTTACCTGTGGTGCCTGGGGTGCCGTAGTATTGCCAGCGGGTCTCATTCACCAGCTGGCTCTTCTCTGTCTCTGACACTTTGTAGGGGTGCACTGTGCAGAGGCAAGTGAGGGGTAAGTGAAGGCCTGGGGCCTAGGTGGTGCAAGGGAGGATGCCCTGAGGCTATAAAGTCTAGGGGGAGCTCTCAAAAATAAAACACTTAAGCAGCTGGCTGACTTGTCCAGTCCCTCATAGAAGAAAAGGATAGCAAGGCTGGGAGAAATGACGGCCTAGCCTGGTCTGGCCTGGCTGAGCTGTGTGGCAGGCACTGGCCTACCTTGTTCAGGGACCCACTGCAGCTCCACTCCTTATGGGCTGATACACCCATCTGGATACCAGGGGGTGGGGTAATGAGATGGGAGAACACTTGTCCAAGGGACTGGTTCAGCCAGAGTGGCAGGTGGGTGGACTAAGTCTCGGTGTGCATAGATTAGCACTGGGGAAAGTCCCTATGGGCTAAGGATGTATGGGGGTGGGAACCAGGACCCACAGAGGGTGCATGCCATCTGGGGCGCACAGCCTGGACTGACTTGGTGGAGTGAGGGCTCACCAGCCAGCCAGGTGCCTGCATAAGGGAAGGAGCGACCATTGTCCATGGAGATGTTGAAGGGGATGCGACCACTCTCATAGAGCAAGGGTGATATACAGTGGACTTGCCCCAAGGAGTCCACATGACCAAGGGTCTGGATGCTCTCCTTAAACCTGTGGAAACAGAGCTAGTAGGAACAGCTGGGCCAGTGTGATCTGACCAACTCAAAGGCCCAAGTCCCCCACCTCCTCAGGAAACAGTGTAGCCAGCTGTCTCTGTGCCCTCCTGCCTGTTCTTGGTCCCAGGGCTCCACCCAGCCAGCCAGTGGGACTGGGGGTATGGGGCCTCCCACCTGCAGATCACACCATCTGTGGAGCTGAACCACTTGAGATGCTGTACCACAAAGTCCTTGCCACCCATCATGGAGCCTGAGGATGGTGAAACCTCCAGGCAGAAATTCTGGAAGTCCAAGCAGCAGGTGCCAAGGCCTGAGCAGGTTGGGTGGCAGGAGCAGGGCCCATTCTGGTCCCCACAGCGCAAAGAACAGCTATCCTGGGCACCTGGAAAAGAAAATCCTGAGCATCTGGCTAAGGTACATGCTAGGCTTGCTGCTCTAAGCACAGGGCCTGCCTCTAATTTTCCCCAGAGTCAATTAAGGGAAGCATTTCCAGGGAGGAATGCTGGTTGGAACTGCCCTCTCTGGTCAGCATGTGGACAAAATGGAAAGCCATGAGTTCCATGGGGCTGGGGTCAACCTTAGCACAGATAATCCACTGGAGTGACTAGAAAATAGTAAGATGAAGAAAAATGCCTCAGACATTCAACCTTATAGGGTCAGAAATAACTCTCAGGGATCTACTAGCTTTCAGACACTAAGGCCTTATAGCTCACAGGGCAGGCATTCTGGGAAGGCCACAGTTGCCTGCATCCTTGACCTGGGCCTGGGGACCTCTTTTGGCTCTCAGATGGGTCTGTGGACAGTGTGCTATCTTGGGACTCCATAGTCTGGAGAAGGACACTTCTTGCTTACCAAGGCTGGGGTCTGGTCACATAGCCACGTTAAAGATCTAGGAGGGACTGGTGCCTGGGCCGAGCTTGACCCATTTTACTTTCCCAGGGGGCAACAATAGAACTCCAAAGAGAGCCCCAACTTCAGGGAAGAAGGTCAGGGGTGTTTCCTTCCTCTTGGGGAAGAGGAGGGACATTTCTATAGGGAGCCAAGGAATAGGGAGAAGGTAGTCAGGGGTGTGCCATGGGGAGCTATGGAGGTCACGCCTAAGACTTCTCCTGTGGATAATGGGGATCTGAGGTAGGGCAAAGACTGGGGTGGGGAGGAAGTACTCAAGTTAGAATCACATATCTCACTTGGCCCTACACCATCCCCCACAACCAAATGAGGCCAGTCAAGGGCTGGGCCTGGGTTTGAGCCACCAGAATGTCCCTACTTAAGTGCAGTGCTTGGCATTCAAGAGTGGCAATAAATATTTATTGTCTCAAGTGGTGTGGGGAAGAGGCTTCTATATGCCAATAAGTACGATAAAAGTGGCAGAAGGGTTGTGATACTTCCCTGCAAGATGGAAGACAGGGTGGGGTGGAGGACTGTGGGTGGGTGATGCCTCTCTGAGCCTGAGGCCAGGGTCCCAACTCTGGAGTTCAGGCCTTCTGCTAGACTTTCTTGGGTTCAGTCTAACCCTGATGAGGACTAACAAGCCTGCCTAGAGCTGGGAGGGAAATTGGGGGCTCTCCATATGCAATCACACTCTTCACTGGGATTTGGGGTGCAGGCCAAAGGCTCCGCTGCTCTCCCCTACCTCTCTTCTAGGCAGCCATGGCTTCCCGTCTCCCAGAAGCATAAGGCAGGCTCAGTCCAGACTTCCTTCCCATCCCTCAACCCCGGAGCTTCAGAATTTCTTCCCACTACTCCCAGCACAGTCATAGAGGCCCTGACAGATGGACAGAGGCCAAGCCCAGTGGGGCTTGGAACTGCTCTCCCTGGTCAGCATGTGGACAAAATGGAAAGCCATAAGTTCCATGGGGCTGGGGTCAACTTTAGCACAGATAATCCAGTGGAGAGATTGCATAATCTACCCCAAGCCTGGCTGATTAGGCAGATGGACTGATAGACAGGGGGACAGAAGCGGGTGGGAACATACCTGCTATGGGCCTGGGCCCGGAGCCGGGGACTGTCGTCAGCAGCAGCAGGACCCAGGGCAGGAGGGCAAGCTTCATGGTGAGGTCTGGGTCTGTAGTCAGCAGCAGCAGCAGCAGCAGTGCAGTGGCTCAGAGGCTGCAGGAGGCTCTTACTCCTTGCTGGCCTGGCCCCGCCTGCCTGCCCCGAGCTCTGAGGCACCGCCCCTCCCTTCCCCACCCCACCCGTTTCCCTTCCCACCCCACTTACTCCCCTCTCAAAGTCCACAGGTGCCTGAGTAGAACAGCAGAGCCCAACCTGCCCCGTTAGCACATTCCTGGCCCAAGCAAAGGACATGGGAGAGGGAAGAAACCCAGCCCTGGGACATTGTGGGAGGGATATGGGGCTGGAGCCTCCAGCTGCAGAATCTTTGGCACGTGATGAGCCGGATGTTCAGAGGCTGCAGCTTGGATCCTGGGTCCCAGCCCAGTCCTACATAGAGGGGCTGAAGGGTGGGGTTCCTGAATGGGTGTTTGGTGTGCGGGCAGGAGCTGTCAGGTCAGTCCCAGGTTGATCCTTGGCCAGAGGCAGYTCTGGGAGGATTCCTGTTGGAGGGAAGAAGGGGAGGGGAGGGGAGTTCCCTGAGATTGAGACAGGCCCATTCACAAGCTCAAGTGATCCTCCAACCTGGGCAGGGGAGCTCACAGATGCACAGCCTGCTGCAGGATGGGTGAATCTGGTCTGTGCTTGAGATTGGCAGGATTCCAGCCCCTGTGCCTTCTGGTCAGATTTCACATCCTCAATTCTTAGTTTCCTGCACGGAGGTGTTGCTAATTCCTCCTCAAAGTTTGGTGGGGTGAACAAGCAAGCAGATTCTAGCCAGGGCTCGCCCCTGGTGGGCAAGTGTTTGGTGTGTGGGAAGGAGCTGTCAGGTCAGTCTCAGGTTGATCCTTGGCTAGACAGCTCTGGGAGGATTCCTGTTGGAGAAAGGAGAAAGGAGGGGAGTTCCCTGAGACTGAGACAGGCCCATTCACAAAAAAGTGATCCTCCAACCTGGACAAGGGAGCCCACAGATGCACAGCCTGCCCAACTACACCCCCCCCCCCCAGCTGCCATTCATCGGTTTGCATATCTCTTTAATCTTTGGGCAGATGAGGAAGCAAGATGGAGACGGCAGGGAACAAATCAGGCCCCAGGTAGCTTTTGGGAGCCCATGCAATCAGGGAGAGCTAAGTTCCAGGCCTGGGACTTCTCACTCAGGGTTTGCCACCTGGGCTGAATGTTAGGACAGGTAGGTGGTCCTTCCCTACCCTAGCTGCAGCTTCTCAAGGTGTCCTAAGAGGGTGTTTATTAACTTTGCAGCTAGTCTTGCACAGCACCAAGCTGGGGCCATCTGGGATGTGACCTGCCTCAGCCTGAGGCCCCATCAGTTCATTATTCTCCCATTTCTCACCTAGGTCTGCCCCAAACTACTCAATGTTAGTGGTCACCCACCTGCTCCTCTCTTGGGTCCAGATCCAAAGACAGAGACTGGCTCCTATTATAACAGTGGTCCATTTTATACTTTGAATATAGCCCTTGCTGCTCTGCCACTGCTACTTATTTAAAAATATTTTTCAGGGCTGGGGATGTGGCTCAAGTGGTAACACACTTGCCTGGCATGCACGGGGCGCTGGGTTCAATCCTCAGCACCACATAAAAATAAAAGATGTTGTGTCCACCGAAAACTGAAAAATTCTTTCCCTCTCTTAAAAAAATATTTTTCAGCTGGACACAATATCTTTTTTTTTTTTTTTTAATGTGGTGCTGAGGATTGAACCCAGTGCCTCACACAGGCTAGGCAAGCATTCTAACCTCTGAGCCTGCAACTTATCTTTTATATATTTTTTTTTTAAAAGAGAGAGTGAGAGAGGAGAGAGA